ATTCACTTTTGCTTTTAATTCCCTTGCCTTTGGGGATGTGTCGAGTAAGAGATTGCTACGGCTGAGGTCAGAGAGGTCTTTTCCTGCTTTCTCCTCTAGGGTTTTGATGGTTTCCTGTCTCACATTCAGGTCCTTTATCCATTTTGAGTTTATTTTTGTGAATGGTGTGAGAAAGTGGTCTAGTTTCAACCTTCTGCATGTTGCTGTCCAGTTCTCCCAGCACCATTTGTTAAAGAGACTGTCTTTTTTCCATTGGATGTTCTTTCCTGCTTTGTCAAAGATGAGTTGGCCATACGTTTGTGGGTCTAGTTCTGGGGTTTCTATTCTATTCCATTAGTCTATGTGTCTGTTTTTGTGCCAATGTTTATTTTTTTTAAAGAGAGAGAGAGAGAGAGAGAGCGCGCGCGCGCGCGCGCGAGTGGGGGAGGGGCAGAGAGAGGGAGACACAGAATCTGAAGCAGGCTCCAGGCTCCGAGCTGTCAGCACAAACTCCAATGCAGGGCTCAAAGTCATGAACCACGGGATCATGACCTGAACCAAAGTTAGAGCTTAACAGACTCAACCACCCAGGCGCCCCTACAGATTAAACAGAAGGAAAAGAAATGTTCAGAGTAGGAAGCTCAGTGTGAGAAGATATTATACATTTATTGGTATTTCAGAAGTGTATTGTCTTATGCACATTTCTTTCACTTTTTCTTTTTCAAGGTTTTTGACTCCAGTGAAGAATCTGGGTATCTTGTTCTCACCATCGTTATATCAGGTCATTTCTTCATTTCCCAAGGACCCACACTGCTGGTAGGTTTTATGCATATAGTTTAATATGCAAATATATTTCTTTATATTTGTAGCTTTACATTAATTTTTGTATTCTCATGCTTCTTCAGTCTCACAGAAATTCATCAGGTTCAACAAATTAAGCATTTATTGAATGTTCTTTAGCAGTAGGTAATACAGATATATACTGAAGAGGTTTAGGGTTCTGTTTTGGGAATCAAAGTGGATCAAAGGATTGAGATTAACCAGTATTATAAAGGATTCTTAACTGGGGAAATTGGGTTGAGACCGGCTAAATTTATAGAGAAATGTGTGGAGGGTTTTTCAAAGAAGGTAAAGAACATATGCAGAGGGAATGATTTGAGGAAATAGAAAACTTGAAACAGGCTATTATTAACTTACATAGCCCTCTATAAAAGTAATTTTATAAAGGTGCATTTGTTCTTTATTCTGAACATACACATGTATTGTAGGAAATTTTTGAAATGAAGAAATAAAGGAGAAAAAATAACATTCATTTTTGCTTGAAAGTTTGTCTGAATTGGTATTTAGAAACAAAATGAAGAAACAAGACAACTTCTAGTCAAAGAATTGTAAAAGAAAGGAAATATAAAGGAAGGTTATTACATCATTTACCTGTGAATAATATCTACATAGACATAATAAATTTGTACAGATATTTACTGAATATCAACATAGGCATAACTTATTCACTTAACGGGTATTTATTGAGCGATTATTACATAGTAGGCATTGTTCTAGGTGCTAGGGATACAGCAGTAAACAAAGACAGAAATCCCTATCATCATGGAGTGTCATCATTTTAGTGGGGAGAAACATCATAAACAAATAGGTCAAATAATAAACAAATAGGTCAAATATAGTTAAAAGATATGAATTTTTGGTGGATCCCTTATACATTCTATTTTATTAGGATGGCAGCATCCCACAGTCGTATATTGTGATGATCTGTCTCTCCACTTACGTGGTGTATAGCCTTATCCTTGAATGTGAAGTGACCTGCAAAGTCCTTTTTGTGTTCCTCCTGATTTTTTTTTTTAAATTTTTTTTTTCAACATGTATTTATTTTTGGGACAGAGAGAGACAGAGCATGAACGGGGGAGGGGCAGAGAGAGAGAGGGAGACACAGAATCGGAAACAGGCTCCAGGCTCTGAGCCATCAGCCCAGAGCCCGACGTGGGGCTCGAACTCACGGACCGCGAGATCATGACCTGGCTGAAGTTGGACGCTCAACCGACTGCGCCACCCAGGCTCCCCCCTCCTGATTTTTAAAACTGCAGCAATGGTATCATTTTTGCTTTATTTACCACTGTTAGGGCTTGAATCATTTGCAGAAGAAAAGGTGTCTTCTTTAGCTTTGAATGAAGAATATTCCAGATGGTGGACAGGGGGATGCCTGGTACACAGCTAAGTTTTCCTCTATGAATATTGTGAGACTTCACTGAATGATGACAGTAAGGCAATTTGGCTTCCTGAGACATAGGAGGACATCCTGTGCTTTGTCTGCTCCATCTGTTTGTACCAGTGGTAAATGTTGTTACAAACTGATAGAGGTCTCTTTGTATCATACATGAAACGATTTTTGCAATGCAGTTGTAAAACTAAGGTTATCAAATTCCAAAGAACCACTACTGAGAAATACAATGGTAACTCCACAGTTTGTTGCATGTTGCCTGTACATATATACCTTATATATTGGATAATACTTAAAAAATTCTAGGTAGGCTTCATTCCCAGTATGGGGCTTGAACTCATGATCCTGAGATCAAGAGTCACATGTTCTACTGACTGAGTCAGCCAGGCACCCCTATTGGATAATACTTTTTAAAAGTCTTGCAATGCCTGGGTGATTCAGTTGGTTAAGCCTCCAACTTTGGCTCAGGTCATGATATCACAGTTTGTGAGTTTGAGCCCTGCGTTGGGCTCTGCACTGAAGCTCAGAGCCTGGAGCCTGTTTCAGATTATGTGTCTCCCTCTCTCTCTGCCCTCCTCTGCTTGCACTCTGTCTGTCTCTCTCTCAAAAATAAACATTAAAAAATTTTTTTTAATCTTTATTAAATGCTTTGTTTTACTTTTTTTAATGTTTATTTATTTTCGAGAGAGAGAGAGACAGAGCACGAGTGGGAGAGGGGCACAGAGAGGAGACACAGAATCCAAAGCAGGCTCCAGGCTCCCAGCACAGAGCCCAACGCGGGGCTCAAACCCACGGACCATGAGATCATGACCTGAGCTGAAGCCAGATGCTTAACTGGCTGAGCCACCCACATACCCCTGTTAAGCACTTTTTGAAACTGTTTTCTTGGGATATAATTTACATAAAATCACTAATTTTCAGTGTTCAATTTGATGTGTTTTGGGAAATGAATATAGTTGTGTAACCACCATCACAGTTGTGATGTAGAACATCCCAAATAACTCTAAAAGTTTCTGTGTGCCCTGTTGTAGTCAGTCCCCTCTGAGGGGGGGAATCTACCCTTCTACCCTCAGATCCTGCTCTCTGTACCTACTGTTTTGCCTTCTGTAAAATTTCATGTAAATGAAATCTGATAATATGTAGTCTTTTGTGTCTGCCTTTTTCCACTTAGCATAATGCTTTTGAGATTCATCCATATTGTTCACTCCTTTTCATTACTGAATAGCATTTACTTTATATAAACCTCATTTGCTTATATCCATTCACCTTTTGATAAACATTTGGGTTGTTTCCATTTTGTTAATATGAATGATGCTGGTATAGCCGTTTGTGTACAAGCCTTTGTATCTTTGTATGAACAAACGTGTTTTAATTTTTCTTTGATAAATTCCCAAGAAAGGAACTGCCGCAGGGTCATGTAGTACATCTGTGTTTATAAAATGCTGCACAGCTGTTTTTCAAAGTGGCATTCGCACAAACAATGTATGGAGGTTCCAGTTGTTCCATGTCCCACTAACACTTGGTATTGTCAGTCTTAAGTTTATTTTAATGGGTGTCTGGTGGCATCTCATGGCGGTTTTAATTTGCATTCCCTTAATAACTAATGACATTGAACAATTTTTTATGTGTTGACAGGTGTACCTTGGAGATACTGCAGGTTAAGTACTGAACCACTGCAATAAAATGAGCACAATGAAGTGAATCAAATGAATTTTTTTTATTTCCCAGTGTATATATGTTAGGTTTACATTACACTGTAGTCTGTTAAGTGTGCCATAGCACTGTGTTTGAAAAAAAAACAACAACAGTGTACATGGATGCCTGGGTGGCTCAGTAGGCTAAGCATCCAGCTCTGAATTTTGTCTCAGGTCATGATCTCATAGTTTGTGAGATTGAGCCCCACATTGGGCTTTGCACTGACAGTGCAGAGCCTGCTTGGGATTCTCTCTCTACCTCCCTCTCTCCTCTCTCTGTCTCTGTCTCTGTCTCTGTCTAAGTAGATAAATAAACAAACATTTAAAAATTTAAAAAATAGTGTACATACCTTAAATAAAAAATACTGTATGACTGAAAAATGCTAACTACCATCTAAGTTTTTGGTAAGCCATAATCTTCTTGCTGGTGGAGGGTCTTGCCTTGATGGTGATAGCTGCTGACTGATCAGGGTGGTGGGTGCTGAAGATTGGGGTGGCTGTGGCAATTTCTTTTTTTTTTTTTTTTTTTTAATTTTTTTTTTTTCAACGTTTATTTATTTTTGGGACAGAGAGAGACAGAGCATGAACGGGGGAGGGGCAGAGAAAGAGGGAGACACAGAATCGGAAACAGGCTCCAGGCTCTGAGCCATCAGCCCAGAGCCTGACGCGGGGCTCGAACTCACGGACCGCGAGATCGTGACCTGGCTGAAGTCGGACGCTCAACCGACTGCGCCACCCAGGCGCCCCTGTGGCAATTTCTTAAAATAAGACAACAGTGAGCTTTGCTGTATTGATGACTCTTCCTTTCACGAATGATTCCCCGTAGCGTGTAATGCTGTTTGATAGCATTTTCCCCACAGAACTCCTTTCAGAATTGGAGCTGATACTCTCAAATCCTGCTGCTGCTTTATCAGCTAAGCTTCTGTCATATTCTAAATCTTTTGTTGTCGTTTCAACAGTCTTCACAGCATCTTCACCAGGAGCAGTTTCCATCTCAAGAAGCCACCTTCTTTGCTCACCCATAAGAAACAGCTACTTATCTGTTAAAGTCCTGTCGTGATATTGCAGTAATTCAATCCTGTCTTCAGGTTCCACTTCTAGTTCTCTTGCTGTTTCCACCACATGTGGAGTTTCTTCCTCCACTCAAGTCCTGAACCCCTCAAAGTACTCCATGAGGGTTGGAATCCACTTCTAAACTCCTGTTCATGTTGATATTTTGACCTCTTCCCTTGAATCAGGAATGTTCTGAATGGCATCTAGAATGGTTAATTCTTTCCAGAAGGTTTTCAATTTACTTTGTCCAGATCCATCATAAGACCCTCTACAGCAGCTATCACCTTACAAAGCATAGTTCTTAAATAAAACTTGAAAGTCAAAATGACTCGTTGATCCACAGGCTGCAGAATGACTGTTACATTTGCAGACATGAAAACAACATTAATCTTGTCATACATATTCATCAGAGCTTTTGGGTGACCGGGTGCATTGTCAATGTGCAGTCATATTTCGAAAGGAATCTTTCTCCGAGCAGAAGGTCTCAACAGTGGCTTTCAAATGTTCAGTAAACCGTGCTGTAAACAGGTATGCTATCATCCAGGTAATGTTGTATTTATAGAACACAGGCAAAGTAGATTTGCCATAATTCGGAAGGCCCTGGGATTTTTGGAATGGTAAATGAGCATTGGCTTCAACTTCAAGTCACCAGCTGCATTAGCTCTTAACAGGAGAGCCAGCCTGTCCTTTGAAGCCTTGAGGCCTGGTATTGACTTCTCTTTAGCTGTGAAAGTCTGAGACAGCATCTTCTTCCAATATAAGGCTGTTTCACCTACAACTGAAAATCTTTTGTTTAGTATAGCCACCTTCATTATCTGAGCAGGATCTTCTGGATAACT